GAAAAAAACACTCCCATTCTCCACTATTCAATTACACTAAATAATAAACCACGTGCTCCTGCGTTAGTCTCCAGGGCCTGCATCAATTCTAAGAGCTCATTCAGTTTCAGGAAGCAGCTTACTTCCTCCTTTCAAGCAAGTTTCACCAAAAATAACAAAGAATAAACTTTTAAACAGCACGTAATTTTTGAAACCGTCAGCTCCAAAATATATTTTGTTAAAAATTCCTTCCCCTGTCATCAGTAAAAGAGGCATTTACTGGCTCAACAGCAATTCAGGTTTTATTTCATTTAGGGTCTCTTAAAACAATCTCAGGTTTAATTTTTAATTGCATCAAGGAAATTATTCCAAGTAAGTACACAACGGGCACATCCTGTTTTGTTCTTGGTTCTGTGGGAAATGAACGCTAAATAAAAAGTATATAGACACACGCTTGCAGGAATATAATCTGACAAAAATTATTGACAAATGGGACACGCTGTTTCTTGATATCTGAGGAGTAGAAATATCTTAACCTAACCATGTAAAAGTCATTTTAATATTTACTTAGTGTTCCTGACATTACTTTCTGGGTGACAGAAAACTGAATCAAAAGAAAATATACTTCCTATAGGCGTATGTTACTCACACAACTGCCACTGTTACAGCTCACATAATATTAACTGAAGCTGAAGAAAACAAATCTTTCTTAAAAACCAATCAGGATTTAAATAAAATGCAAATGATCTTCATAACAGGCGATTCATTAGAAACAACAATTTAATGTCTAAGGCCTAAAAACTGTTGATAAGATACCAATGAAACCCAGTAAGTTACATACTCATGACAAATTAAGACATTATACTTCAAAATTTATTGTTCAAACGTATCTGGCTTTACATTAAATTGTATTAAAATCTAAGTCTAAAACTAGTCCAAATATATTTTTTTAAACATTAAATTATGTAGAGAGGAAGTAAAATCTAACAGGAATATAGTTTCCATAATATAGTGTGACTTTGACTTTTTAGTACTTGGTCAAAGGCCAAGTGAGTTCAATAAATGCTCAGAGCTCAATAAATACAAGTTCATGTGTTAAACCTCAGGAGACAGGTTCAGCAGCCAGGCAAAGCAATTCCACATAGATCTGTTCCAATAATCCCTTTTTTCCCCTCCATAGGCACTCTTGGCCACAGGGGAATAAACTGTAAACTTAACTCTAAGGAGAAGAAAAGCTGCAGGAGTTAAGGACATCAAAGCACAGAGTAAATTCAAAAAATAACAGGACAAGATGTGCAGGTAGGCTGCCGGGCTCTACTAACAAATCAGAGAGACTGTTCCCTTCTCAATGAGATCATCCAGTTTTCACAGAAAACCGAGGTGTTCCTGTCAGCCTGCCAAGATGAAGGTAAACACGCTGAGGAGTGTCAGGTGGGCTCTGGCTAGCAGACACACAGGGAGCCCCATGTGACCCCAGTGCTTCGGGCCATCTGGAGCAGAAATCTTTTGAGTTTCTTAGGCAGAGAAATCAGGAGGCTGTTGCTGACTGGCTCCCTCCATAGCCTGCCTCTGGGGTGAGTTAGCGCCAACGGCAAGTCCTCTACACCAAGCAAGTGCTGCTTCAGGGGAAAGAGTAAGTGTCCTTAATCACCGATTTCTGCTTCTGAAATCAGGACAAGCTCACTTTCAAGTCCACCAAGAATGTTTTAGTGATGGAACAAGACAAAGGATCGAGAGACCCTCTCCCCTTCTAGTTCCAAAAAATACACAGAAAATTCGGAACACTACATTTGTGTAACTACAAAATGTCTTAAAAGACAATATTGGAGAAGTTATCTGCATAGTTCTTCCATACTCCAGCTAGCTTGTAAAAATAGCATTATTATATCTTTTTCTACACTATCAATATTCCATTTACAATCTATGTATTAAGCTAAACAATTCTTGGACAAAAATTCCACAGCATGCTTCATTTTTTAATATCCCCTTAAACATGGATACATAATCATAGCACTATTGTTATTAAGCATGAGAAACTGTTTCTACCACTATGGAACCGCCTTCTCCTTGATTACCAGTGACCCCTTAACTGTTAACTCCAAGGGCAACTTCTCATTCACCATGGTCTAATTTTTCTGTAACATCTAATGCCAGCAAATTTTCTTTTCTGCCTCTTAGAACTTCTTGTTTCTTTGGCTCCCATGACTCAACACTCCTCTGGTGCTCCTGCCTCACACAGCCTGTTCAATTCAGCTTCCTTTACCAAATCTATTTCCTCCTCCTGCACAGGCAATTCAGTCACGCCGGATACCTTTCACCTCAGAACATGCCCTTCGCTTTCCTACCTCATAGAACATTGCCCACAGCTTCTTCCCTCCAGAATTCTCCTCCTCTGTTTTCTCCATTAGGCAAATCCTTCCCATCCTTTAATGCCCAGTACAAGTTCTAGGAGTACTTTCCCCATAAATACAATAGTTAACACTTCACAGGCAGTTTCTAAGGACCAAGCCCTCTTCTCATTTAATCTTCACAAGAACACTAAGAGGTAGATGTTAACATTAGCCCTAGTTTATCCGTTGAGGAAAACTTCAGCAAAAACAATGTAAATAAGTTGCTCAAGGTCATACAGCTAGTGAACTGGGTAATGGAGCCAGAATCTAAACTCAGGAAATCTGACTCCAGTCTCTCTCTTAATCAGGGATCAACAAATTACAGCCCCCAAGCCAAGCCTAGCTCATGCATTTTTATAATACCTATGATCTGTGAATAGTTTTTACATTTTCTTTTTTTTTTTTTTTGAGACAGAGTCTCACTGTGTCACCCTTGGTAGAGTGTCACCCTCGGTGTATGTGGCTGGCGCCGTAACCACTGTGCTATGGGCACCGAGCCGGTTTTTACATTTTTAAATGGTTGGGGAAAATCAAAATAATATTTCATGACCCATGAAAATTATATGAAATTCCCATGTCAACAAGCCTAAGTAAAAGTCCTATTGAAACACAGTCACATACTCTATTGCTGCTTTTAGGCCACAATAGCAGAGCTGATTGCCTCCATTGCCAGTCTCTGTCTGACAGAGACAATATGGCCCAGAAAGCCCACAAACTTCAAATATTTACTCGCTAGCCCTTAATTTTAAAAGTTTCAGACCTTAGCCTCTCTTAAAAAGCCTTCCCTGCCTGATTTATTACTTCCCCCATGCTGAAATAACTTTCCCCCACTCTGTATTTACATGACATTTGTAGCTCTCTCATAACAAGTAGTCTATTTTGCCTTGCACGACATTTATTTTTCCCCTCAGCAGACTGTAAATTTCTTGAAGACAGGAAGTAATTGTTTTCATTTTGCATTTATACTCCTTGCGTCCTCACTTATTACTGGCAGTCAATAAAGGTTTGCTGATGTTCGATAAAATACTGCAGTGTAAACTTTTAGACGGATTTCAATTATGTCCCTAACATGAACATGAACCACAGACATCAGTCTAGACTCAGTATCAGCAGGATGGTAAATATATGTACTTTCTACCACTACCGTCCATGTGTAAACTGGTACAGCCTTTCCAAAGGGCAATTTTGTGTTGCTCACCTAATACTTTGAAAGTATGCACTGCTTTGGACTCAGAATTCCCCTGCTAGAAATTTATCCAAAGAAAATAAGCAGACTAGTGTGTGCAATAATGTATGTAATAGAGCCTTGGGAGTCAACATACTCACTGAGCGCAGATTACATACTAGGCACTTAACTAAACCCTTTAAGTACAGAACCTCACAACTCTTAGGGTAAACACTATAATTGGGTTTATTTCATAGATGAGAAAACTAAAACTTGAAAGGTTAAATAATTTGTCCAAGGTTAGGCCCCATACACTGGAGGTGGCGGGTTCAAATCCAACCCAGGCCAAAAAAAAAAATTTGTCCAAGGTTAAAGGATTACAGACAACTTTTCTTTTTCTTTTTCTTTTTTCTTTTTTTTTTTTTTTTGAGACAGAACCTCAAG